AAATCGCCAGAGCAAAAATGCATCTCATTCCACACTGATTGCTCGAACGTAGATCCGCGTCGGTCCGGAATTCGGAATGGAGAATATTATTGCTTTTAGATGTAGAGAGATTATTGAATGTTGGTGTTTTGGTGGATATGATGTGCTCTGTGTGCAAAGGCGATTGCAAAGGATAAGGGATTTTAACGGATAACATTGATGATGAATATCATAATAAAAATAATGAGGGAAAATATAATATTATAATATCATAGTAATAATAATAAAAAAACGTAATAATAATGATAATAAATAATGAATATGATGGTAATAATGATATAGATAGTATAATGGTAGTAAAAATAACAATATGAAATATAGTAATAACAACAATAATAAGTCATAATAAAGATAACAAAAGTAACAATAACAATAGCAAAAATAACAACAACAAACACAACAACAACAACACAACAACAACAACAATAATAATAATAAACAGTGATTATGATAATATAAATACAGATATTATAATGATATTAAAAGAAATAATGATGATAAAAATAAGCATCTCAACAATAACAAGATAACAAACATAATAATAAGAACAATAATAGTAATAATAATGACAATAAGCATGAGAAATGTGATGATGCCATTGCTACTCGTAATAATAATCTTTTTGTACATCATAGATAGCAGCGAACTAATTATATCACTGTGCATCGCGCTTTGCACATTTCTCATCGTACGATTTTTCATCATCGCTCCGGTATATTATAACGTATAACGCTTATGAACATTAATGTGCAATCAATGCGCTAGAATTGTAATCTACTGTTTATATATAAATGTTCGGCGATACTTAAATTCTTGTAGAAATGGTTTTGATACAATACTCAGCCATTACGTACTCGACTTAGGAAATCGCGCACAGCAAGCGATATATATATTTCAAATTTCTAATACCTTTATCTTTACAAAGCCATTTCAGTGATGAATAAAATAAAACAATCTGCGTGCCCTTGTTTGCTACTCATTAGATGTTATGTTATTCCATGTTATGTTAATAATGTCAGTTCCTCGCAAGTCATGCTACTGCATAATGTAGAGCCCTCTTGTAGTTATCAAACGACTTGAAGCGACATGCTGGGTAACTCATCACATTCATTCATCATTCACATTCATCGGGTTATCCGCATGCTGGGGTTCTGATTTTCCATTTACCGGATGGACTTACTAGCGAGCGATCCTGACCAATAAAGATCTTGGGGAGAATGAGGACATTACGCTTCGGATATTGCTGTCATCTCTGCTGTCGTTGCTGTTGTTTTATGGGCGATGGTTTGTATATTGTGGCTGCCTTTGTTGTTTTTATTTTTCGGATTTGTTATTAGTGTTGCTATGAATACTGTCCTTTACTTTTTTTTCTCTTTCTCAGTTACTTATCTTGCTCTAGCTATTATTATTATTATTTTATTATTATTATTATTTTTATTTTATTATTTTATAATTTTCGATTCAGTTATACTGAAAAAAAATGCAACGTTGATGCACTGTTGCACGATGCATTTTATTTTATTATTACTGAAGATCGAGAGTTATAAAGTGAGAAAAGCTACACAAATAAAACAAAAACAACTACAAATAGAACACAACAACAATGCTGAAAACACAGAAAAAAAAAAAAAAAAAATATCAAAACACACAAAAACTAAAAAAAAGGAAAAGAAGCAGGAATATCTATGAAACATTTTTCCTTCGTCTGCGTAAGTACTTTTGGATGTTAAATCAAGTCGCGAGGGATTAGAGCGAGCGAGTTGCAGTTGCAGTTCGTCGGAAATGACACGGAAAGTCAGAGTTCATGGGAAAGGGGGAGGGGGGGGGGGGCGGGGTGAAAGAACTGGCACGTCGAGGTCGCTGTCTCTCGCGCGCTCTCTTTTGCTGTTGTCTGTCTGTCTGTCTGTCATGCCCACGCTCTATAGCTCGTAGTTGAAATTATAAATAGGTCGACACGCACGCTTACAAATATATACATGTATATATATATATATATATATTATATATATAATATATATATATATATAAAATGACACACACAACATATATATGTATGTATATATAATATATACACATATATATACATACATATATTATGATATATATATATATATATATATATATATATATATATATATATATATATATATATATAATATATATAATATAATATATATATATATACACATATACATATATACTATATATATATATATATAATATATATATATATATATATATATATATATATATATATATATATATATATATATATATATATATAATATATATATATATATATATATATATATATATATATATATATATATATATATATATTATATATATATATATATATATATAAACACATATGTATGTAAATGTACGTTACATGTCTCAGAAACGCACGACACCACCGACGCTTGGTGACTTCAGCGTCCTCTCCACGAGCATGCATCGACTGAACACGCTCCCCTAACAGGTTTCCAGATTCTGGAGACCTCTAGACCCAAGGACTTCGGCCCATTGCTGAATGCACCAAGAGCCATGACCAGGGATTCCAAAGGCTCAGATAGGATAACAACATCGTCAGCAAAGTCAAGGTTCGTGACCTTGATATTGCCCAGTGTTGCTTTACAATGACTTTGGACTGTAGCTCTGCCCATTTTATCTTGGAACAGTGTTGAAAAGTGTTGGCGCAAGGGCACAGCCTTGCCTCACTCCTAACCTAACAGGAAAGAAGCTCGACAGGCCCCCACAGCACTTTCAGTTCTAGTATATAGGCTTGCTATTTAACCAATAATCTGTGTCGAAATACTCCTGAGTCTCAGGATCTCCCATAGCGATTTGCGGTGCACCGAGTCAAACGCTTTCTTGAAGTTGATGTAGGCTGCAAGCAACCCACTACCAAACTCACGATAGCATTCCACAGTGACTTTAAGCGCTTGGCTTCAGTCTAATGTCGACTTAACAGAAGTGAATTGGGATTGCTCTGGTCTTTGGTGCCTTAGTAGGTGTTCATGGATCTGTTTTAGAGGAATGTCGGCGAAAACTTTGCCTGGTTTACTGAGCAATATAATGCCAGGGTAGCTGCTCGATCCCCTTTCTCCTCCTTCCAGAGAGGGATGACCACGCCCCTCAACAAGTCAAGGGAAATGGAACCGGACTGCCAAATGGCAGACAGGACAGTATGTAAGCATCATGCCATAGGTTCACCCTCAGCCTTTAGCAGTTTGGCAGGGATATTAGATATGTCCGCAGCTTTCCCACACTTCAGTTTAGAGTCGCCTTCCTAACCTCAGTCAGTGTTGGAGATTTCTCAGTGATGGATGGATCTGGTACAGGGGCTGTGACACCAATTACATCAAGATTAAATGCTAGAGGGTCTACCTGGTACAGCTGCCTAAAATATTCTGCCCAATGTTCATGATCTAAAATGGTCCGTCCATCCACTGAGTGGACTGTAGTTATCTGCGAGGAGAGTCTGAAGTTCGTTTCCTCAGGGGTTGGTAGGCAGGACAAAGGTCATTTACTAAGAAATGGCCTTAAGCCTCCTCATCAAGATTTCTGACGTACTGTTCCTTGTCCCTTCTCAGCAGTGTCCGAGCCCTGCACATCAAAGAATGGCACAAATCCCAATTGCCCAGGCTAAACTGTAGGGGATCTCAGAGCAGCAAGAGGCCTTAGGGGTACAGAGTCATGCTCACTGGCATGTGGACATGTCCTGGATCTTTACTAACTCCATGCCTTCGGCCCCTTGGGTTTAATGGATGGCTTGGGGGAGGTGAGGCTGGTCAGTCCTGCTCCCACTCCTTAGTGGCAATGAATCATGCTGGGGAGAGTGGTGCTGCCTCTTTCACCTAGCAAGTGAGGCAGGCTGTGGGTCCTGTTGGGAGGGTGACTGCTGGGGCGCAGGAAGGCAGTGGGTGTTACTTGTCCTGTCTACGTCCCGGCAGCTGTCAACCTGTGGGGCAAAACCCAAGGGAACGTAGACGTTGGCAGGGGTGGCAGAAGTGGAGTCCACCCGGAGCGATTGCCTGAGGTTTAACCACAGGCGGGCTGTCCAAGCGATTGGGAGTTAAAGGGCTCCCGGCTCGGAGATGAGATCTTGCAGCGGCACGGTCAGTATGGGTGGGTACACCTACTACTGGTCGGGTCGTGGGATTTCACCATCTTCAGGGAGTAACGAAAGCCATCTCCTGCTGAGTTCAACCTTCGGTAGTGGAGGGTTCTCCATTTGACAAGAGAAGTAAGGCATGGAGACCAGGGGCGTCATTTCAGCTTCTTCCGAGCCCCCCCCCCAAAAATAGTTCCAAGGAAAAAAAGTGAAAATATGCTATTCTAGGAGCTTTTTTTTTTTTTTTTTTTTTGGCTACGACCACAGCTGTAAAGGTTTAATTTAGGCAAGAAAAATCGTGGGAGTGTGGTCCTTGAGGGGGGGGGGGGGTCAGCCAGACCTTGAGAGGAGCATTCAGAGTATTGGGGGTTGTCACCAGGGCTCCCTCCCCCATGACGCCCGTGATTAAGACTGAATGATGGTAATAATACTGATACTAACAATGATAATAATAATAATAATAATATTTTGGTGACTTTTAAAATCTTTATTCTTACTGATATGAGAAATTCCTTAAGAAATCAAAAGAATAAAAATACACCATTATCATGTGATTATCATAAAATTATGAAACAACATAACAATGAATTAAAAAAAAAAAAAAAAAAAAACATAATATAAAGCTCATCATAAAGATACAAAACCAACAACAGAAAACTGAAAGAAAAATGGCGCAACAAAAGGAATTCCCCACAAATGCTCATAAACTGTCAGGCGGCGCCACGAACCTCCATGAGCGGCGCGTCGCTGGTGTCCGTCGCCCTGACCACGCCGTCGTCCCAAGCCTCGATCAGGAAGCTCTGGTCGACGCCGCCGCTGTAGCCAGGCTCGCAGGAAACGGACA